CCTTTCATTCCATTCTATTCGTCAATTTAATTTTCATGCTTTTATAAATTTTCTATTCCCAGAAAAATAAACTTAAGTCCTGGGGTGAAACCTGTTGTATTTTTTTTATTTATATATATATATATATATATATAATTTTTTTTTTTATGACCAGCCACGGATGATGAATCCTCAGCAAGGGACAGCCTGTCCTGTTATGATCACTGTTGATAGGGATAAAATTTATCAATGGATCATTGAACTTACTAATCCAGAAACGAGAGAGAATGCTCTTCAAGAATTAAGGTGAGTGTTGTAATATATAATTTTATCTACAAATATATAAAAGAATGTCTGAAGCAGAGGTAAAGAGGGATTTTATTTTTGACAAAGGACAAATGGCACTTTACTCAGTCAGCTGCTTTAGATATTGTCTTTTCTCAGAAAATAACTTAACAACATCGATAAATAACAATGTGTTAACATTATACTATGGAGCAACCTTGTTTTGCCTCCTGTAAATAATGATAGTTGTACTGTGACTATGAATCCCTATCTCATACTAATTAATATTTCTGTGCAGTTATATATGATAGATTACTTGTTTGTATCTCTGTAACATTTTCCTAAAGAAAAAATTTGCTATATCAATTCATCAATGTAGATGAAATTTACTTATATACCATCACTTGATAAGACACCAGAAGTGTTGAAACAAAATGGCTATTTTTGTAGTGATGTTATAAAATGTTTGTTACAATTTTTGAATAAATAAAATTATACACACACACACACACACACGGAGTTTTAGGCTTGCCTGTATGTAATGCAAACACATGAAAAATAATAGAACAATGGTTAATTTTAAAACCATTTTGATTGAAAACTAATTCCACTATTCATTGTTTACATGGTTAAAAAACAAATACTACCAAATGAGTACTTCATAATTCCTTCGAAATAATGTCAACGATTTTTAATTTCTCTCTCTCTCTCTCTCTCTCTCTCTCACATATGTTTGAATTGATGGTGGCTATAAAGTGGAGGCAAAAGAACATTTCAGAATTGTTTGATTCAACTACAAATATTTTGGGTCTAGGTTTTTTACTTGCATTTTTTTAACAGCAAAAAGAGAGAAGTTGTTCCTGATCTTGCCCCAATGCTGTGGCATTCTTTTGGAACTATTGCAGCCCTTCTACAAGAAATTATCAATATTTATCCTGCCATAAATCCACCACAATTAACAGTAAGTTTTTTTTTTTTTTTTATTATATAAATATGTATATATAAATTTTTATTTATTTATAATTTATGTAGGTGACTATTTACCATATAGAAATGAAGAATCATAAGACAATGTTAGTAATGAGTTCAAACTGTTAAGAAATGTGTATCTTATTACCAGATAAATAATAATACTTCTACTGCCATAGTAGTTACTGAGCTAATGTTTCCAATTTGCAATAGTCAAATGCTTTATTGATTTAAATTTGCCCCAGAAATTTTAACATTTTCTATATTTACTTTTTATTGTTTTTGATAAGTTTTAAAGTCTGATATATCTTGGTTAAAAGTTTTTCATTTAAGACTTCAGTTCAAAAACATTTGTCATTCTACATTATAAATTTGTTGTATTTCTTTAGTTTTTAAATCCATTAAATTTGTTTTCATTTTCTAGGTTATTTCTTTAAAAAAAACTTATGATTTATTATTATTTCCATTATTATTTCCTTTGATTTAACAACAGTAATAATTGTTAATTACACATTTACCAACAATTTATTTATGGACCCATTTTTTAAGTTAAAACACTGGAAAATTTGTATGTTTGTATGAATGAGAAAGAGATACATGATCACCTGATAATTTGTATTCCTATCACAGTACCCTTTATGCTAGTGAATAGGTCTTACAAATCATTGATAGTAAATTTGACTAAATATTTCAGTTGTAAACAGTTACTTTCAGAAAAAATATAAATTACGGCAGATTTTTTGTTCAGTGTCCATTCCCGTTTTTCTGTTTTTATTATAGGCTCATCAATCAAACAGAGTGTGTAATGCATTAGCTCTACTACAGTGTGTAGCATCTCATCCTGAAACAAGATCAGTATTTTTACAAGGTATGTGAAGAAGATCATTCAAAATTGTTTAAAATTCAGGAGATTGACCAAGGTTATATTTGGTTATGTTCTTTAATTTAAAAAAAAAAAAAAATCTCTTTATCATTATAACAATAGAAATTTGAAAAAATATTTTGGTATTCTCCTAAAAATATCCTTCATTATAATCTGAAGATGGAGCCAAAATTATATTCAATCCAATTAATTGGAGCTAATGACATTCAAATATTTTGATAATTTGTTTTATGATCAACTGGTGTTGATTTGTCTACATTTTTTATGGGTAACATCAAAATTTAGATTATTCTGATAATAATGACTAGATGATTTTTACAGTATTTACATTAGTCGGACTATTGTCCTCATCTTTGTCGCCATATTTGTCACAACGTTTCAGCCGTTGTACGCTCCGGCCTTCTTCAGGTGGTTGGAATTTCGAACTGAACCCTTTATTTCGATCACTGGGGTAGACTGTTCTAGTTCCACATGCCATGTTTGATGGATGTCAGTTATCAGTTATCTCCTGCTAATTTTCCCTCTGAAAGTTCTCCACTGCCTTAACCAGGAATTGAACTCACCTTCTTTGGGTCTGTCACTGGATCTAACCAATGCCTTTCTCCACAACAGACAGACTCTAGATGATTTTTGTTAATTTTTATAATTTCACTTTTTGGTGAACACTTTAATTTTATATTTTTATATAACCTTTATAAGTAAACATTAGATTCCAACAATTGTTTTTGCTTTAAACCATTTTGGGCCTCCTTCAAATATACATTTTGTATAGAAAAAGAGCCTCTTTTTTGTGTGTGTGGGGGGTGCAAACCATAAAACAGTAACAAATCTACTGATTGGACCAACATATATGGTAATGTAACAAATAATTCTATATGCAATATTGCTTTCCAATCCTTGTTAAGCAATATAAGTTAACCTGATTTATCTACATAAATCTGTTGTTCAATTTAGTTTTCTTACTTTCCACAGATGTTTTCTAGATTACTTAAACCTTCAACTAGAAAATTTACTGTAATTCCTACTCTCTTTAGATATGGCTTGTAATATCAGATATTTCTACTTTTGATAGGTTTTGCTACATTCCTTTAAAAGAGCAACTGGTTTTTCCTTTATTTTTGACATTTTCATAATTGAGATCTTATCTATGCAATATTTTGTTATCTGCTTCTCTAATAAGATTTGGCTTGAATTGTTGGTTTAACTCCATTTTTTTTGTGTTGGCCAGTTGTAATATGCAAGTAAAGAGACAAACTACATTTTCCATATGGATTCTATTCTACATCTGGAGAAGACTGGGGAATTCATAAATCTAGAAAAAGAACAACTCTTGGAAAGATGATGGGACATCTTAAAATTATAGAACATATCTAAAAAATTAGATTATAGAATAATAATCATTACCTACATTTAGATATTTTAAAAAATCAAGAATTTAATGCTGGAAACATTGTAATTTTATTTCTGCAAACTTTTAAAAATAAATTTTAAATGAAAACTTAAGAAAAATGTAAACAGGATTTGACGGTATATTTTCTCTAATTTTAATTGTTTGTTTCTCATTTGTAGCTCACATCCCCCTGTTTCTTTATCCATTTTTGCACACTGTTAGTAAGACACGGCCATTTGAATATCTCCGATTAACAAGTCTTGGTGTTATTGGTGCCCTTGTTAAGGTGAGTTGGCTTGTTTTTATATTCTCTTGTTTTAAGATAGCCGATTTTAAAATGGCTTCCATGGTGATCATTAGTTTTACTTTCCAACATTTTAATTTGTAGAAATAATCTTATTGACATGTCTTTTTATATTTACTGTCTGTATAGAAAAAATACATGTCTTTTATTTAGTCTCCTGTTCATTAGCAACAAAACAGGGTGGGGGTTGTTTGCAGATAAATCAGGAAAAGCCAAAAAAAAAAAATTTCCATGCAAATGAAATTAGAAATATTGGTAAGAGGATAAAAATAACATGCTACTATTACTCTTTATTGTAGGGATATAATATACCTGAAGAAAGGATTTAATGATGATAATGATTAAAATTACCACACTGATATGTCTTTGTTTTAAATTTGAATGAAAATCTGATGGAATAGCAAATATATAAGAAAATTTGGAAAACTTATTTTGATACATTTTGCTGATCAAACAGCATCTTCAGAAAAAAGGATTTTATTTTAACCAAAATTGTCTTGTCATTGTGATTCCCATTGGTCATATGAACAAAAAAATTTTTTAATTCTATCATTTTTGAGAATAGGTTTTATTAACATTGACTCAGTTTTTAGTGTATTTGTTTAAAAAAAAAATTTTTCATATCCATATTGTTTAAACACCAATTGACTGAAGAAGCCTGAAAATGGCATGATCTACAAATCCTCTGCAAATAATATATGAATAGGCTTCTTCAGCTTGTCACCTGTTCTTCACTGGTGTTGAAACCATGTAGGATGCAAAAATATTAAAAGAAATATAAATAAAAAACATATATATAAGTAAAAACAGTTGATAAATTAGTAAAATATATAACCATTTAAACAACTTGTAAAATAAAAAAAAAACAGTTAATAGGAATTAACTCTACTTGAGTCAATGCAGATGATCTTTTCTTCAGCTGCATAGTATGTTCTTTGCCAGAAACAGTTAGTTATAAAAAGTCCAGTATTCATATGACTAATGTGAGTTAAATTCTACCTCACCACTGTAGATTCAGTTAAAATAAAATATACTTTCTTGATGAAATAAGAATTTTCAAATTGTCTAAAATATTTACCACATATTCTTGAAAATTCAAGAAAATTTTCTACTATTATTTGCAACAAAAGCATTTGTCTACAGAAGATAAGCAAGAAATCCAAAACTGATTTGTGCATTATAACTCCTCAAAAATTAAAAAAAAAATACAGGCATTAATAATTATCTATCAATATATAATCTGTTGGAACTTTTATAATCTGTCAAATCCATTTGATGTTATATCAGTTTTGGTTCATATGAAGAAATGCCAAAGCATACATTTCACATTCATGTTTCTTTATGACTTTGTTATTATAATGATACTATCATGTGTTCAAGATGTTTCTTTTTGTAAATATTGCATGAATCCACTCTGTATTTATAACTTTTACTTACAACACAATATTTTGTGGAGGTTATTCATATAAAACTTGGAAACTCTGAGAAGATTCATAACACTATTGCTACATCATAAGGCTGACAAGTAGTCTATTATAATTTACACACACACATATGGGAAATAGCTTGTACATTAATAGTACAAATGTTTTTTGAATTTTTTCATTTAATTAAAAGTTGCTGGTGTGCAGAAAGCCATGAGATATGTGTTTTGTATAGTGTAAGATCTTCTCTAGCCTGACAAAGTGCAGCAACTTGATGTGACATTTGATTGCACAACTGATCAGAAGAACTCTGGGGAGATGCTGAGTCATACCTTCTTGATAGCTGTTCGCAGTTATCTTGATATTTGTAGGTGCAGTATTTTGCATACAAATAATGCTTGATTTGCTCATGTTGGAGGAATATGAATGCTTCTCAAACCAATTCTTGTTGACTTGGCTTTAATGATACAATAGATTATCCTGTTGGTATAATGGAATTTATGAATGGATACAAATGATCACAAAGCAGTGCAACCTAAATGTGTTTAGATGAACCAGTAGACTCAACATATGCCACATGAACATGCCTCATTACCATTGTGGAAATACCACTAGCCTGCACGGTGTCTTCTTGAAACTGGTGGGGGGGTGGCATGGGGTTTCCATGACTCTTGGCACACAACAGTGTAATGTGAGATGCACCAATTACTTTGGTCAAAACATTTAATTTCCAGACAAATTTTTTTATTTGTTTTTAATATAGTAACTAAGAAAATGAGGCACCTTGAAGTACCCGTGCAGTGGCTAACACCTCTACAAGACATGAGTTGACAATTGAACTCGTTTCAATCTCAGAAGGGCATAAAAAAAACTCAAGATTGACATATAAACACATCCAGCTGATTTTTGAATGGTATATTTTGGATGTGTTTAATCCGTGTCTAAAAGACAGTTTCAGTAAAAATGTATGTACACTTCTATGCTGGGGAAGGGGTTAATAATACTTTGTACAGCTCATGTTAATTGATGTGTGATTTATTTGACTTATGATAATATTTGCTTTTTAGACTGATGAACAAGAAGTTATCACATTCCTCCTTACCACAGAAATCATTCCATTATGTTTACGGATAATGGAATCGGGCAGTGAGCTATCTAAAACAGTAAGTACTAGAAAGGCCCATGAAAATTTTACGGCTTTCCTATTTTAATTTTCTGATGAATCTTAACTCTTCAGTTAATGATTAAATAAGCTCATGACAAGTTTTACGAAAATAAAATATCTGTAAGAATTCCCCTATCATTTTGTTCAATATTTGAGTTTTACAACTTCAATAAAATATTATAACAACAATCATAAATATATGCATGCTGGTTGCTATTTTAACAAGTGGCTACAAATAAAAAGATTTAAAATTGACACTTTTCCATTTCATTAAAACAAACTTTAAACACATCTATCTTCTTTTCCCTTCTTTCTTTCTTTCATGTGCCTTGTTTTTCTACACATTCAAAATGGAATAGTCCATTATTTATTTAGTGGCAGGAGATGTTAAGCACTTCTATCTTCCCTTATTTCTAACCACATCCCTGTCTTATTCCCTTATTTTATGAACATTTCTCATAATAATTAAAAATAATTCAGCATATGATGTTATTTTATTTATGGTAACTGATTTTTTGGTGATTATTTTACTTGGTTTCCGTTGTATAATACTTTACATCAGAAAAATGGCGCTTTTTAACTCGGTCATTTGACCGAGATCAAAATGTAGTATTTGTTCTTATCGGCTTAATTTGATACCCTCTCTCCAGTTTTATCTTTTCTTCCTCTCTTCCGTCTTCTTACTGAACCAAGTAATGTCTTTTCCCCTCTTTCCACATGATCAAAACACTGAATAGTCCATTATTTGTGAGGTATTAATAGGGTGTAACAGTGTGCAAACTAATGAAGGGAGGTAGGGACTAGCATAGTTATAATAGTATTCTTTGCACAAATATTCTTTGAAGTTCACTGCATTAAGCATTTACAACCATTGGGTTTTCAAAATTTTTTGAAGTGGTTTTTAAGGGTAACTGATTTGTTACTTTGAATCGAAGCCAAGCTACATTGTTTATAAAATCGTTTATCATGCATGTGTTAAATGTTTAGTGGAAAATTTACTTTTTTATTTTTATATAGATTTTGTATAAAGTGAGAATTATTTTTTTGTACAGGTTTAGTATTAGGGTAATAAATGCTGTTGCTGAATCTTTAATGACAGTGGTTGATTCTTTTTATCAAATAAGAAAAAAAGAAGCATCAAAAGTAATTGTTTCTAACTTTGAATTTCAAAACTTTCATTATTTTTTCTTTACCTTTGATAAAAAATAATTTCTTGACTATTTTTAAATGAATTCTTCTTATTATTGATCTATTCATACCCATTATCTTCAACTTGGTTGTTATAGTCATAATGTTTAAAAGAGCTGGTGTGTTGTTAAGTGTATCTTGTTATCTGGTGATCATGAATTTATTTCATGGATCGGTGTGTTCACTAGAAAACACATAAACAGAAGAATGAATTAAGTAGTAACTGATATGAGCATTGACAGTGTAATGAGAACAATCGTTTCCTTGGATTAAATAAAAGCTTCAGTTTATCCAGCTTATCAATACAAAAGAAAATCATCTGAAGAAATTTAATGTTAAAGTAACTAAACACTATTCTAAATAGATCTCTATTTGGAATAGGGTTTAGCTACTGTAAACATTATTCCAAATAGTGATTTATTTGGAATAGTATTTAGCTAAATAAATGTAAAATCTTTTTAAATTCTGAATTTAGTTAAAAATTCAAAAAAAAAAAAAATTAGAATTGTTCATTCTTCAGGAAATAAAATGTTTAAAAATTTATTTTTTGTAGGTTGCTACTTTCATTTTGCAAAAAATTCTTTTAGATGAAACTGGTTTGTCCTACATTTGCCAAACATATGAAAGATTTTCACATGTAGCAATGATTTTGGTAAGCTATTTTTCATTTTATTTAGCAGTTTTCTTGATTAACATAAATGAAACAAAATTTCATGAAAACTTTATAATTTAAAGACAATATAAATTAATGTAAATTTTGAATTGATTTTATTGGAATGATTCTGATAACTTTTATTAATTGGTCTTCTAGGGAAAAATGGTATTGCACTTATCTAAAGAACCATCTTCCAGACTGCTGAAACATGTAGTTCGCTGTTACCTCCGCCTCTCAGACAATCCACGGTAAAGGATTACTTTTTGAACAAAATATTTTTTGTTGTTTTTAAATCATGTTCTTAATGGAAAATATTTGTGTAGTCAACACTTACTAGAAAAAGAATGCTCACTCTTTATTTCTTATTTAAGGAATACAAATTTTTTTTTTTTCCTTACAGAACTTGCCATTTAGTATACTATTTATGCAAGTCTCAATGAAAGAAACTTTTATTTTTGCAATGGACTAGTCAAGGTTTTACATTTGTCTTCTCTCTCTTTTTTGGGAGGGTGTCTTAAAATCAAGGCAACACAGCTGATAACATGTGTGGAATATGCATAGTGTAAAATAAATAAATAAACAAGCTGAAATTAGTTTCCCTTAATATTAGTTATAATTTTATTTTGTTATTACCAAAAATATCTGGTCCTGTGACACCTTTTTCATGGTATAATTAGTAATAGTTACAATGTTTTGTGACTGAGATAGTTGCATATTCCCCACAGGCTTGCAGGACATTATTTGAAATAATTTTCAAGGCGGGATGATTGATGCAATGAAATCATTTTAATATTTTGGTATCAGTAAAAGTTCATTAGTTAATATAGAATGTTTGTTAAATTGTTTTTCTTCTGTAATACTTTTATAATTTGACAGCAGCAGAAACTATTTGCTTATTTCAGATTTTAGTCTTTGGTACTTGAATAGGAATGAAAAGCTAAGATAAAAATGAAAATGCTTCATTTAAATTTCAAAATAAATACCATTGTAACAGAGAAAAGTTGGCGCACATGAATGCACACACGCAAATATAACGTTTATTGATTGAAGTAGGAAAACACGATCTTCCATGAAAGTTACAAACTGTGTCAGCACTATTAATAGGAAAGAATCTAGAACAATGATATATCTGAAACCTGAGACGGCTGATGGGTAAAGAATAAATTTCAAATCGGGTTGGCGAGGACTTGTTTATAAACATATACAAAAGGGCAGGAGGCAATGTTTAATTTGGGTCATTAAAAAAAATCGACGGGTACTCAGGGAGCGTGCGGCCAGCTACCTCTAAGTTCGGTTCAGACTGAGTGGGCGCTTCAACCCAAAGAAAGACGCCAGAGGTTGAGGGGCTGAAGGGACGAGTGGTAGAACATTGCGTTTGATGACTTTGTTCAATCTCAACTTGCTCATTAAGATTGTTTAATTTTTAATTTATTAGGCAAGAAAATATGTATTTTAATGAGTGCTGACTATTTGCTTTTGGTTGGTAGCTTAGCTATGTGTTGCCGTCAGAACTATAATGAACATTTTGTTATGGTTATGAAATTTTTTTTATTCTACTTTTTTTTTTTTTTTTTTTTTTTTTGTTGTAGTGCTAGAGAAGCCCTCAGACAATGTCTTCCTGACCAACTCAAAGATGCTACATTTTCCAGTATTCTCAGCAGTGATGCCCATACAAAGCGTTGGCTTATGAATCTGCAATCAAATTTAGAAACAGCCAGTGTTCCTGATCCTCGTGGCATGCCCTTACACAGTCAGTGACTTTAGGATGACAAACAATCTTGGTTTAGATACCTGGCCACATTCTCATTTCCAGTGAAAAAATTTTAATCACACAAAGCCAAAGAGAACAACAGTTTTTGTGACGAGTCTGAGGATGAGCTGTAGAATAAGATTGGACATATTTTGAAACATTTTTCTATTTTGATAATTTTCTATATTTTAACAAAAGAAATATATTAAAAAAATGTTATAAAATGATTGCATTACAGGTTTGGGAATTCTGCCTGCCTCAAAAATAACTGACATTAAAATAAATTTATAAAGTGGCTTATGAGAACAAGGTGATCCCCAACACACACACACACACATATATATATATATATATATATATATATATATATATATTCTTTTGTTTGTTTGTTTTTTTTTAACTGGACATTTTATAGTAAATTATCCACTTGGATCACATGTTTTATTATTGGCTCATTAGCTTCTTCATAAGGCTATAAAAATATTCTCTCTGGCCTATGGATTTAAATATCTCGGTCAGTTTTCTTTATTGTATTTGTTCAAACATTTAATGATGCATTTGGGTGTATGATACAATGAAATAAGATTTTATTCGTATTGTGATATTTCGGCTGGTATGTTCTATTGTCTTTGCATACCATACACCTGTATGTAATTGATTTAAGCTTATGAGCAGACATTTAAACCTTGAGCAAGTCTTTCAATTTTTTGTAGCCAACCCATTTATATAATCTCCATTGTACATGTGTTAGGTTTTTAATCTGAGGGAGACTCTGAAAAAAGCAAAGGGGTGATTTGTAATAAAAGTAAAGAAGGAAGTGACTGTCAGAATAAACTGACTTTTGCTTGTAAAACAATGTTTATTTGTAAGTTAAGTGCCAGCCTTATTCACAACATATTACAAAAACAGTAACAATGCCTCAGACTGGTGACTGGTAGTCAGTTCAGCATTTTTATCTTTGGCCTGCAAAATTAATCTCCAATTCTTCTACTCATTCTTCAAAAAATTTCTTCAGTTAAAATTCTACATAGACAGTATCTTGTAAGGAGGTGGTAGGGTATGTGATAACAAAATCCTTTATTAAATTTTGACTAAAATCCCACTTTGCATAGATGAGCTGGGTTATCTCAATTGTCATTTTTCTAATAGAGAGACACAGGTCCTCCTTGTTTCACTGGACTTTATAGTTAAAACCCAGTTATATCTTTAATTCACACCAAAACAATTTTAGGTTCTAATTCAGTTTATTGTAATTTAATGCTTTTTCATTGCTTCAGCAGTCCATGAGAAAATCAAAATTTCAGCATACTTTTGGTATGCTAATAAAATCCAAATTCCCTGGTTTGGCAATCTAGGCTTTTCACATCAACTTCACAATTAATTTTCCAACTGGCCACCATACATAGATTTACTTATAAAATTCTCACTATTAACTATACTTTTATCATTCAAAGAAATGATTGTCCTATATTTTTATTCTTGGCCTCACTCTCATTACATTAAGAAATTCTGTCAAGAATAATCAGTATAACAGGTTAAATATATTTATTAACATGGACCAAGAAAGTTAGTATTTTCATTATAACTATAATATTAATATGGTAATAATAACTCTGTGCATGTATTTGAGTGTTATACTTTCAGATAGAATGTTCTGCTTTAATGAAGTATAGATGACTTTCATTTTACAAAACAACAAAGCATGTTTGTAATAACAGAAGCTTACAGTATTTAAAGAATAGACATTGTTATAAATCACATTGATTTATTTCACAGAATTTTTATATAAAATTAATCTTTTCATCGCCTTCTGGCATGGACATTTCCACATATTACAAGAGTCTCTTTTTTTTTTTTTCTTTTTTTTTTTTATTTTTTTTTTAATTGTAAGCAAATAAATTATTTAAAACCATCGAACATAATTACATGTTAGTCATACTAATAAAGCTAACTTTAAATGAACTTGTAATTTAGTTAATTAGAGTTACTTATGTTCATTTGAGAACAATGAGACATCTCAAATGAGTTGATACAATTGTGTGCAATGTAAAAGGGGCATTCCCACCTGCATTGATCAGATTGTTTACAAAAAAAAAAAAAAAAAAAAATTTGTAATACATGAAATGTTTTAAAAGTATTTATCAGAATTGAAAAATATTGACTTTTTTTTTTTTTTTTTAAATCATTTCAGAAGAGAGGTCATGTTCATAAGTATACTATCAAATTGATCCCTGATTTTCTGAAGAGTTATTTTTAATGTTCTAGCTAATTTTTTTACAGAGTTATTTTAAATAAAGAACAAATGGATATATACATTTTTCTGGCTTTTTTTTTTTTTTTTTTTTTTTTAAATATTTAAAACAAAATGTTTTACAAAATTATAAATATTTTAAGCCCTTTTCAAATTAGAGACAAACAGACTTGAATACACAAATTTGTCTAAATAAAACTGTAACAGACTCCGTATGTGCATTTTTACATGTTTTAAACAATTTTGGGAAACAGATTTTCTTAAATGGATATAAAATTTTTGATGTGATTTATTTTCAAATATTTGAAACAATTGGTTAAAAAAAAAAAACACTTTAGAGAAATAAAAACAAGCATTTGTTTAACAAAAATCTTTTAAACAAGTAGGAATGTAACAGATGAATTCAGTCTATACATACATTAAACTTGTTCTTTCCATTTGACGTATGTTCCTGTGTAGTCAGAGCCATAAGTTTCAGCTGTGACTCACTTTTTGGTGAGTATAAGCTGGATTAACTTGTCATTCCTTTCAGAATGATTATCCATGCATTCAGACTTTTTTTTTTTTTTTTTCCCCCTTTTTGGGAGAAGTGTATCTCTGGACCAGTTGTCCACAAGTTCCAAATAGCCATCATTCTTGGATATAATAGCCTCTATAATATTTTCTTATTTATTTATTCCCCCACCCCTGTGTGCTTAAGACATTACCATAAAAGTATTTCTCCAGCTCTACATTTCATCGCCTCTGTCACTGTTCAATATGATATTTGGAGATCTCTCTTTTTCTCTCACTCAAATATTCTAGTATAAAGTCTTGTGCTACAATGAATCTCAAGTCAAAAAATTTCATTTTTCACAAAATGCTGTAAGGAAAATTCTGTTAGGGTTTAAATATTTCTGCAAAAAGTTTAATAGGAGGGATGTTTAAAATTTAAATAACCTACAAATATCCAATTTCTTCATTTAACAATTATCCCCCTAGCTTCGTGCATCTCTGTAATAAAAGCCAAGAAGGAAAATACATGTTTTTTATCCAAGCATATTTATTAAGGGGGTGCAGCTGTATACGGTTATTAATGACATGCACTATTTCACACTTGTAAATATAGTCAGGAATTGTTTCGACACTTTATATTAACAAATATTTCATTATTTAGGACATTTTTCATCTTCAAACACAAAAGAAATGAAACTGGAGCATAGATTCATCTTTTTAGATGTTATATAACTGGAAGGACCAGTGAAGGAAACTTAAGATTAGTAGAGCCAATTGGTTGAAATGGAATAGTGTGAAAAGACATGATTCTTCATGTTATTTGTATTTTATACACAAACCTGAGTATCTTCATGTTATTTGTATTTTATACACAAACCTGAGTAATTGGTGGCACCTGCTTGCATTCAAGCATTGTGATTCTCATCCTTTCTCCCCTCTGGTGGCGGTGACAGAGATGGCATTGAAGGCCCAGACTCCACCTGCAGAATTGTGAACAGGAGTGTAGGTGGTGGATGCAGCTGGGCTAGTCTGGCCCTCCTGAGCATATCACAGATAAGCATGAGTAAAAGTCTTAATAGAAGGTATTAAAATTATCAACAAATCCAACTAACTTTACTCTTTCTTTGATTACTTCATCAATTTCTGCATTGCCCATTGCAAGCAGAAATGTGTTGTCAGCATAGGTGGAATACCTGCCCTATCTGTGAGGCACCAGGTAATGATTGGCTTGATCTGTAACTTGTAAAGATTCCAACAATAATATGCAGCATTAGTGAAAATGGGCCAGTATGATATGAGGAAAAGTATCATATTGTAGTGTCATAGTTACTGCACCAAGTATATCAGTTAGTCACGAAATATTACATGAGAGTGGCTTTGCCCCAGTCACTGTGTGTCTGATGTAAATATTAGCTAGCAATTACAATCCCTAGTAACATGGGTGAATAATTTGTGTATTGGATGTGCTATTATTAATTTCCTACTCCATCGTTTTGTCTAGTGGAAATCTTCCCTTTGTTTACCTACTAGGGATGAAATATTCGCCTCAACAGGCTGTGGCTTAGTTTTGTGGTGCTAAATTCAGTGATGTTTTGATCCCAGCAACCTTCTGAAAGGATAAGCTCTGTTGATAAAGTTATCAACAATTTATTAATGATGAGAAAATATAAAACCTGCAAACATCAAACTCATGCAGTTCAATGTAAATTCTATTCTTCCCTTGTGGCATGTGTTGCTAACTTCACTGCTGCTAGAAAATTCAATGAAAATGGACAGCCGCAATTTCCCCAAGCTGCCAAGTGCAACTCTATGTGTATATGTATTTATAAAGGTAAGGGTTCCAGCAGAGACTTTTACTAATTTAGCATTCACACAAACACCCTCTTTGTTTTTTGCATTACCACTGCCTTTATCCTATGCTTCTAAAATACCCAAAACCAGGCTTTGTGTGTATGATTTGCCACATAGAATTCTAAATAAACATTCCCCAATTCCATCAGTTTTACAGAATTTTGGCAAAACATCACAACTTCCTTGTGTTTGTGAGTGTAAGCAGGCTATCTCGGTTATCTGGCTTTTACTGATTTTTACCTGGTTTATTTTAAGTCAAACTAATGTTTTTAACCTATACTTTTTCTTGTCATTAACCACACTCCCACATTTTTGTCCATCTAATATCTCCTTTGCTCATGATTACCAAATCTCTCAAGTTACTAAACTACTTCCTGTACTAAAAAGACTCACACAGGGCCACTTCTTCAC